GCTCACCTCCCCCGCGTGCTTCGCCATCTCCACCACAGTCTGTTCCAGATCCGCCACGAGCAGGAGGAGGCTCTTGACGCTTGCCTGGTGCGCTGCAAGCTGGAAGCACAACTCGACGATATCGCTCCGAGAGGATACAATTTCCTGAACGCGGCTTGAGGTCTTGATGACGGCCGACTTGAAGCTGGACGCGAGCCCGAACAGCGTTTTGGTGAACTTCATGGTGGTGAAGTTGGGTGTGGGTGGGTGTGGAGTTTGGATGTGCGGAGGGCGAGATGCTGGACGTACGAATGCAAGAAGCAATAGTCTGTCAGCCACCCATGTCTCGCCCTCTCTCCTCCGCGCTACATGTCAGCCACTCAAAAAAAAAAAATTGGCCATGACGTGAACATTCTCGCGTCATCTCTCTTCTTGAACCATTTCCAGTGATTTCTGAGGCATATACGGTTGCCAACAAGTCCCAGCTTTGGTTTGTTTTGCTAAACCATTGATGATCGATCAAGTTCGTGTCGCGTCCACCCTCCTCTTCCTCACAAGCCTGAGGTAACTTACATACTGTACTCGAGTGCGGGTCTCAGTTACCAGCCGTGATCTACACCACTGCCTTGGCGTCGTCCCAGAACGCGAGTGCCGCTGCACGATCCTCCGCCTAGGTCGCCACGCATCAAACCACCTCCTTAGGCTTATCCTCGTCATCCGACGGACGGTCGCTCTTCAGCCAAGCCCCGGCTTCTCACGGCTACGAACTGGGCGAGGGTCGAGTACTTACGTAGCACTGCGTGGAACAACCACTGAGCTGAATGTCAAGCAATATGTTCTGAGTCGGCAGTTCATTTACCAGAAATGACTACCTTTGGATCTCAACGCGCCCGACAAATTGGAGCCATGAACGCAATAGCACCAAAACGAAAGGAATTCATGTGCCACAACGTTGTATAGAAACTGGGGGCGCGAGGGAATTCCTCTTGTACACCTTCCCGCTAGAAAATCTCCCTCCTTCGAACCCTCCTGCGACACGTTGAGCCGCTGGATGGTCTCGTTGACGACGATCTCGAGCTTGGTCCTGTCGGCGAGCTTCTCGTCATTGAACGAGTTACGGAGGTTGTGGCATACGACTCGAGGGCATTCTTGTACGTTATGCGGGCGGCGGCGGTCTCGTCCTCAGCTAAGAGAAAAATCGTGAGGAACAGATTCGAAATGAAGAAAATGAAAGAGATGTACCCTTGTACTTCTCGCCTCGTCCACCATACAGTCAATCTCTTCCTTCGACAGACGGCCCTTGTCGTTGGTGAAGCCCTGTCATCTTGTCGGAGGCGGAGATGTTGAGGACACCGTCGGCGTCAATGTCGAAGGTGACCTCGACCTGAGGGACACCACGGGGACGGGGGGATGCCGGAAAGCTCGAATTTACCAAGGTGTTGTCCTCGGTATGCGCACGCGCACGCCTGTACACCTGGACGAGCACACCGGGCTGGTTGTCGCGGCAGTCGAGAAGCTAAGGACGTGTCAGTCGACTGCACAAGAAGAAAAAGCAAAAAGAAAAGGCGTACATCTGGCTCTTCCGGGTGAGATGACGGTGTTACGGGCGATGAGCTTAGTGAAGACTCCGCCGGTGGTCTCGATACCGACCGAGAGTGAGGGTGCAGCCATCGACGAGACAACGCACAGCGCCGGAGAGGATACATCCCTTCTCCGAGATCGTATGGGACTCTCCACCCTTCTTGTCGAGGCCGTAGGCAATGACGGCGGTGGCAAGTTCGTTGAGATGCCCGCGATGGTGCCCGGCGTCCTCGGTAGCCTGACATTGCGAGGTATGGTGGATGGCGATGGTGAGCTATGACTCTGCAGTCTCCTTCCTTAGGAGGACCATGGAGGAGATCTCTTCAGGCGGCCAGTCAGTAATGAAAGACGATGAAAGAGCAAAAAACAAACAAATTCTTTTTGCTCACCACGGTGCTCGACGCGGATGTATGGCTTACCGCCGTTGCTGAAGACGGCAATGTGAAGTGCTTCATGCTGGGGTGTAGCTCGTTGGGGTCTGGTATGTTGGCGACGGGCGTGGAGACACTGCGGTGAAAGCCCTCCCCGCCCAAACCCGAGGACCCCACCACGACACTGGTCCCCAGATACGCGCCCGATGGCCAGCGAGTTCGATGGCCTCGAGCATCGGTGGTGAGGCCTTGAGGGAGACCGGTGAGGGCTGCTGAGTTGGAGTTGGATTGGATGGATGACAGTAATCAATCGTTTACGAAAGCAAAACAAAGCTGGGACTTGTTGGCAACCGTAGGCATACCAAAATGGACCGTGCGCGCGTCGCAACATCCCAATCTCGCGCGCGCGCGATAGTTTTCCACTTTGGCAGAAGATCGAATCGGCTGGGGGCAGAGAATCTCTGAGAGAACTCGGGTAGAATTGATCTTGGGTAGCTCTCCCCGTTCCATCCCGAACTCGGGTAGAATATTTAGCGGGCCGAAAGATAGTGTTATCACTGAACTTGTTGCCCGCGAGTGCCGGGTATCTCGGCATAGCGGCATCCCTCTGAACACTCGGCTTTGCTCAATCGTCTGATAATTGAACCCGCGGTACCGACAGATTCTTCTGTTTTTAAACAGTGATGAGGTTCATAACTTCCCTCTGCACTCAACAACTTTCCTCACTTGCTTCAGTGTTGTCCGGGCCGGGCCACAATGGGCGGAGATCATTTTCAAATCAACCTCATTAGCCTGAGTTCTTGTGACCATTCAAGCAAGAAACCGAAATCAGACAATTCATAGAGGTTTAGGAGGGATGGTGTGCAATTATTCCTTGACTATGTACTGGAAAACAAGCTACTTACTTCAACAACTGAGTTAGAAGCCGGCTGTGCCGAGAATTATCCGCGTGTGGATCGCTTCTCAACTTTTCTACCCGGCCGTCACTTTGCACCGCAAAATTCTACCCGCCCGTCCATCTTCATCATCTGTTGATTGACATCTCTAGAGATTCTCTGGAGAGAATTGATCCCAGCGGATTCGACGTCCTCCACTTTGGGAAGCCGGCGGTGATCGCCGCATTTGGGTGATCGTGATGCTCGGGGTTTAAATTTCGACGTCGCGTGTCCTACACAGCAACTCCGCCGGGTTCACAGCACTAGAATGGCCTGCAACGTGGACCCAGCATAAAAGCCCGTTGAGTGGCATAGTAACTCGTTCTTCCTCAGCCATGGGTGCAACTATCTCGCGCGCAGCCGAGTCTGGTGCTGACCTGGTCCTTGGCAATACACTCCCCAAGACATTCGGTGAGTTCCTTCAAGTTGCCGTGGCATATTCCTGACCGCAGTATTAAATAATGATCATCCAGAAATCGTGATGATTGGTCTCGATGACGCCGGGAAAACTAGTCTAGTAAACCGCTTCAAGCGACGTGACCTCCCTCTCCCGGCCACTGTCACCACGATTGGTGCGCTATATCGACTTTCTTCTTTTCATCGACGCGGCTGATAGCCTTCAGGTACCACAATAAAAACTATACGGTTCGGCCGACATCGCATCACCGTCCTGGAGCTCGGTGGCGCGGACAAGATACGGCCACTGTGGAGGCGCTGTACGCCCATTATCTTTCTTTCACACTATATTCATTGTTCGACTCAACCTGAAATTGAAACGAAACAGTTTTCTGGAACGGCCACGCGTTCATCTTCCTCGTCGACGCCAGCGCGCCGGAGCGGTTTAGCGAGGCCAAGGAGGAGTTGGGGCGGATGTGGGGAGAGATATCGAAAAAGCACCCGATTCTCATACTGGCGAACAAGATGGACTTGAAGGGCGCGGTGGGGTTGGACGAGGTAGCGGAGGCGCTTGGCGTCGGAGGGTTAGCGACAGGGAGGACGGTCGCTGTGAAGGTGGGAATAACAACCGGTGTATACCACCCAAGCTGACTGCTTGGATCGCAGGGTGTCTCGGCCATGACGGGGAAAGGGCCGGAGGAGGTTTTGAAATGGGTTCGTCCTTCCCTTCTACACAACTTGTCTTTCCAGCGCAAATATTGAATGCTGCTCAGTTTGTAGAGAATGTATCGCACCAACTCATTGCGGAACACAACGAAGTCAAGAAACATACAGGAACGTGTTGTTGAAACTGGAGAAGGTGCGTAGAATGTCCGCGCCGCGGAAAGAAAAAAGTTTGTACATTGTTTGATGTAACCATACACCTGCAGAGATTCTGTATACTTAATACTGCGACGACGCCGCTAGTATCTATAATCTCGCCTGGGTTTGAAAGGCCCCTCGCTCGATGAGTTACACGACTTCTGTGTCTGGTTTCCACCTTCTCAGACTAAACGCGCCCTCTCCTTTCACCACCCTTCAACACCGTAAGTACTCACCCGATATTATCCACGGACCCTTGCGCGCACGCGATACTTGGTTTGCAATGGCGATTTACGGGATTTCCGCGTTCGGAAGCTGGCGGTGATCAATCCCATTTAATAGCGGTTGTACTCACCTCTCTCTTTTGGTTGAAACAATGCGAGTATGATGCAGTGAAGGTGTTCCGTACGGATCTCCCACTTGTCCCAACAAATGCTTTGGTTGTGGTTCAATTTGCTTTTTTTTCGAGTCCGTTTCGTCTTCGGTTGAGCTCTCTTGAATTCGGCACTCAAGCTCGAGTACCAAGGGGACTATTCAATTTGAGATTCAATTCCTCAGATCAAGCGCCTTTCATAAAGCTCACTCAAACTCTCTTTTCTTTCTTTTCTCTCTCTCTCTATATATATGTTCTTGGTTGATGTCTTCGATTGGGCTCTCCCTGAATTCGAGCAGTACTTAGGTACTTGAGTGTAGATACGCAATTCCTCAGATCGAGCTCGCAGTGATAGGAGGTCGAGCACCGTGACGTAGGCCCCTTGCCATGTTGTGTTGTGGTTCAACTTGAATTTATGTGCCACTGGCAGAAGGTCTCAGAATATCCGTCCAAGTTAATTCCGGTACTACGCTACTACAGTACAGGAAGAGAAACGAAGGCAACGACCCAATGGTGTAGCTGGTATCACGTTGCTGTGTCTGTCCCCTGGAAGCGGTTATGCAGGAGTCCCTTGTTCGAATCGGGGTCGGGTCTTGTTTACGATTTTTCTTCCATTTTCTTTTATTCTAAATCCATTTTCTCGTCAGTTAGTTTTGGACTTTGATTGACCATGGACTCTCGAGTACCTATCTCAGGCTTGATCAAACACTCAGCGCTCAGCGCTCGGGTCGAGGTCGGGCACTTGCCCTTGCATTGTGGCGTGATTAATCGTTAATCATTCAACTCAGGTATGTACTACAGGAGAAGGAGGTGCAAAGAAGCCAAGGACCTGATGGTGTAGCTGGTAACACGTCTCAGGCTGCTGGCTCTTGCCACTGTTCTGTAGAAATTCTGTAGGAGTCCCTCGTTCGAACCGGGGTCGGGTCAACCTTGGTCGCGATTTTTCTTTTTGTTTTCCTTTTCCTTTCTTTCTTTATTTCTGTTCTTTTTCTTCTCTGCCTCTGCTCCTTTCGTTCTCTCGCCGAATCAAGGAGGAGAAGGAGGTGCAAAGAAGCCAAGGGCCCGATGGTGTAGTTGGTAACACATCTGCTGTTGCTACGTCTCTGTAGATCTCGCAAAACTCTATGCAGGAGTCCCTCGTTCGAAACCGGGGGTCGGGTCAGCCTTTTTCGCAATTTTTTTCTTTTTCTTCTTCTTTTCTGTTTTGTTTTCCCTTTCTGTTTTCTGTTTTCTCTTCCTTTTTTTTCTTTTTCCTTTCTTTCTGTTCCTTTTGTTCTCCTCGCCGAATCAAAATCAAAATCAACATCAAAAGCAAGTCGAAAGTCGATTGATTATTCAATTCCGCCGCTCGAGCGACGGAGGTGCGGTTCGCTTTCACGTTGAAAGCCCGCTCACACAGTTAGTCGACGGGCAGAAGCGGCAGGGCGAAGGAGGGTGGGTGTATACTTGGTTACGCGGTTCCAGACGTGCTTACTTATTTGCACGCAGCGCATACCACAGTTCATACCTCGGTGCTTGCGACTTTCCCGCGTCGATCTCAGCGGGCGGGCATGGGCGTGCGCGACGACGGGGAACCTGGACGCCGTTCAGTGGACCGCATCAATCGTGGCAGGAGGGAAAAGGAAAGGACGTTCGTTCAAGATTATTCTCTCTAAGTACACTGCACAACACACGTATAGCGGTTTAGCCTTTCTTGAAGCCTATAACGAAGTCGGTGGATCAGTATTGAGCAAGACGACAGGGAAGAACACAGCAGGTGGGGGGGGGGGAAAGAGGGGGGGGAGACGAGACGCACCGAGCCGCCGGCGTTCATAGAAGAGATCGGTGCGACTGGCGCCGAGGTTGACGATTTTGGGGCAGCCGTCGCGGTCTTTTTCGAGGCGCGTGCATTCGGCGCAGTAGTAGGCGTCGGAGATGCCTGGGTGGGGGTGTTAGTTGGAGGGCTCCAGACGAAGAAAGGAAGAAAGGAAGAAAGGAAGAAAGAAAGGATAAGGCGCCTGACTGAGTCAGTCGGGGCTGGGTGGGTGGAGAGGTGAGTAAGAAGAAGCAGGGTAAGTAAGGAGGGAAGTAAGCAGGGAGCAGTAAGCGAGTGGTAAGGAGCGACGGAAGGACGCCAGCCGGATAAGTGAAGGGATGTATGTGTCAATACACTACGGAAGAACGCAACGGCATCGCAGGGTCGCGGTCGGCGGGGATGGGATGAACAAGAAGGAGTAAAGACGCGTACCAGGGGACCCACAGATGATGCACCGCCCTCCGTAGGTGCCGAAATTGCACTCGTCGCATATGCGGACGAGGGTCTCGGGGCGGACGTACGAGTCACATACCGGGCTGCGCGCGTGTGAGTGGGGGGAAGACAGGTAGATAGAGAGCAGGACGCACCACTTGCCGTCGCACTTTTCGCAGAGACGGCCGATGGCTGAAGCGAGACGAGTTAGTCATCGCAAAGACGAACGGAAAGAGAACGGACCGATTCCGGGCTGGCGCCTGCACATGATGAGATCTAGGGGCGTGGTAAATAGGAGAACACAGGGTTGAATGTGGGTGACTGACCGGGATGGTGCTTGGACATGGCGGTGGGCGGGAAGGGGTGATCTGATGGGGAAGTGCACGTGATTTGCATCTCTGCTTCTCTTTCTCAGGACTCCATTTTTCGTCGCTGCCGTGTGCCCCTTGCGCTCGATGGCTCTGCGTTTCTTGTCGTTCTGAACACAAGCAAGCCCCTCACTCCTTCTACATATACATTCGCCCCTCGCCATGTCCGACCCCGACTCTCAGGGTCCCCCCATGCAGGCCCACACCCTCGACCTCGGCCTCGCCGACTTTGGCTGTCCCGACCCGCTCGAGAAGGTCCGTGTCGTCGCCGTCTCCCGCTATACCACGACTAACACCCCCCTCAGATCTTCCAACAAGTCGAAGCCCAAAATGAGCGCCGCGCCCAGCAGGAGGAGGTCCGGGACACCCTCTCCAGCAGCCTCGGCGCCCTCCCCCGCGTCGAGTCGTCCGACAACCTCAAAAAATCCCGCAGGAGGGGGAGCATCTCCATCACCGCTTCGGCCAGGTGCGCGTCCTGTCCTATCCTCCTCCTTCTACTTGACTTGAATTTAACTTGAATTAATCTGCGCTGGTAGCTATCGCCCTCGGAGGACGGCACCGCGAGCGGCGGCCCAATGACCCCCGCGCTGTCGGATATCGCCTCCAAGTCGCCCTTCTTCCAGGCGCAGCTCAAGGTATGCCTTGTTCCTTCCATTCCTTCCTTCTCAGCGTTCTTTTCGGATTTTTCCCTGCGGCGCTGTTTTACCCCCGAGAATTCTGATCGCCCCCCTTTGTTTTAATTATTCGACGCCCTGGTCCCTTTCTGTCTTTTACTCGAGCATACGTGCTTGAGCTCCTAGTCGTCTGCGTGTGCAGCTGCGTGGTGCGATACACGGGACATCTGGCGTAGCTTGCTTCTACTGTCCGAAGCTAGCTTCTTGCGCGGTTGCGGTGTAGCGCTGGGGCTCTGTTGCTGAGCGCTTCATGCCTTGTGCCTGCGCGAGCTACATAGCCGCGTACTCGCACCCGACCTCGACATTGCTCTCTAATCGCTTCCCTTTCCTTTCGTCAGCTTTTCTTTTCTTTCCTGCAACTCGTCTTTATATATATATATATATATTTGGCGAGGCGTGCTTGACCGTATGTCGACGAGGCTGGCCTGCTCTCAAGTCGCGGATTGTGTCTGTGCGGTGGACGTGCCGTGCCGCGCGTTTGGGTTTTCCTTTTGGTCAAGGCAGGCGTTCATGGACGTGACTTGTCCTCGCTTTCTCTCTCAACTCGAGTTTGTGTCGCGCCGCTTTTCGGCGACGCGCTCAGCGTTTCGGGGCTTTTTTTTTTGGCCGCACGCTCCCCGTCCCTGAACGCCTGGTCCTTGGCCGTGACTTGTCCCACTCACCTCACCTCACTCGTTTCCTTCGCTCGCTTCTTTCTTACCCTTTCCTTCCTTTCCTTCCTTTCCTCCTTTCTTTCTTTTTTCTTTTTGGAGGAAGCGCTCCATCCATCCGTTCATTCATTCATTACTTTACCTCCTCCCCAACTCCACTCTCCCTTCCTTTTCCACCTTTGTTTCCTGCCTTGTTCTACCTTTCCTTTTCTACGCCCCCCTCCACACTTCCACATCACGTCCAGCCAATCCCCGACCTACCCTCGGGACGCCCGTCGGGTGCGCGTGCGCGTGCGTGCCTCGTGAAACTGTGCGTAGTGCGGAGGGCGTGGCCAACGCGTGTTTGTGGAGCGAGTGGTGGGCGCTGTGGAGTTGTGGGCGCACCTTCGCCTTTCGTATTGCGTTTTTGGTCTCCAGCACAAGATCGGCGGAATCGTGCGCTTTGGAATGCCGGGTAGGCACCGGACGCGTCTTTCTTTCCCTTTTTCCCCGTTCTTCTTGTCGTACGCTTTTTTTTTTTCCCGCGTCGAGTTTGAGACGTGCGTGAAGCGGGAAGCGGGAAAGGGAAACGGGCGCACGGGTGCATCGAGCTGCGGATCTCCCTCGCGCGTTCCTGCGTTTCTGTATTAACCTTATCCTCCGCACCCGTCTTCAATTTTCATTCTTCTTTGCTACATACACAATCTGCCACCGCACCACCCACTCACACCCTCCCACTCATCTAGAACAACAACAACTCCTCCCTCACCTCCTTCGCCTCCGTCCCCTCCGCGCACGCCGCCGACGACGCGGACGCGGACGCCGAGGACGACCAGCACGTCACGCACATGCACACCATCGCGCCGCGGCAGAGCCTCTCCCGCGCCGTCGGGGGGCTCTTCTCGTCCGTGGGCATGACGCGGCGGCTCAGCCGCGCGCGGTCCGCGGTGCTGCCGGCGGGCGGGGGGCTGGGGATGGGCGGGGTGGGGGGCATTGGGGGGGAGGTGGTGATTGGGGTGGGGGTGGCGACGGTGGAGGTGGCGTCGGAGGCGGGGGAGGAGGGCGGGGAGGGCGCGGCTGGTGCTGGTGCGGCGGGAGCGGGGGCGGGGGCGCGGGGACACGGAAGGACGCAGACGACGGTGCACGCGCCGCTAAGGAACCAGGCGTCGAGGGGGAGCATCGCGGCGTCGGTCGGCGGGGTTGGGGGGAAGAGCGGGAGCGGGGGCGGGTGGGCGGCGCGCGCGAGGAAGTTTACGAAGAAGTTTAGGAGGAAGAGCGGGGATCCGCTGGCGGTGGGGGATGCGGGGCGGGGGCGGCGGTGCCTCCGATGTCGCCGTAGGCCGTAGACCCTTGACCCGCCCGCGCGCTTCCCCCCACCACACCACACCACCACCCACCACACTCCTTCCCACCTACCATCTTTCCTACCGTCTTCCTCCCCCATCCCTCGGCCTTCATCTACCCTCGTCCTTCACCTCCCTAGGGCCCTAGGCCCGCGCATCTACATACACACATACACACAATCTCGATATCTACACTGTATTATAGCTTTTACATACATTGGTTTAGTTTCGTCTTTTACATTGGTTTGGTTTTTCGTCTCGTCTTTTACATTGGGGACATTGGTTTTCCTCGCTCTGCTGCCAGTGGCCATGGTCTGCCTCATCGGATATTGGATATCGTATATCGTATAGCTGAATTCAGTGTTGTCGTATCATTAATTCTGTCTGGCGCGATTGGTAGTGGGCTGGGCGCGAAGCGTTTCACGTGTCGAGCGACCGAGTGCCGAGGAGCAATCCGTCGAAATTCAAAGACATATGGGAAGATTATGTAGTATGGACAGTCGGAAGTTGCGCACCGAAGTATGTAATATATACATAGAAGCTTGGAGAAAGTTCAGCCGAAAAGCGGGCCCCCCATGTGTGCTCCGAATTGGAATTGACGCGAATTCGAGCTTTGTATAAGTACTGTAGAGTTTTCATTCAATTCGGACGTCACAGGTCACAGGGCCCAAAATGTACGAACTTTTCGGCCTGGTCACAGGTCACCGAGAGGATGTACGAATGTCCAGGAAAAGTCACAAACTTGGCGAGGAAAATGGCTCAAAAAATCGAATTTTTCGCGCGCGCGCAAGCGCGCTTGATCGGGGAAGCCGCGGCGTTCTCAACCGCCATTTGTGACGTGATCGGCCTTTCTGCTTCCTGGAGTCTCACGACGTGTTCCTCCTTCACCCTCGCGCGCGGCAAATTCAGTATGAACTGAGG